TACTATCTCTATTCCTTTATGTCTGACCTTTATATTCTAGAGCTTTAATTCCTTGATTTATTCTTTTCCTCAGTACACTAGAGTAAGACAACCTCCAAAAAGCAAGCTGATACATTCGCATTTGCCAGATAAATGGGCAAATTCCATTTTTGTGAACTTAGGCTAAATGAACAGAGTACAGAACTGTAATTTAATAAAACTCAAAACTTACCTAGCATGTGTTTCATATATATGACAATATATTTATCAAATATAAACAGCAACTCATTCATTTATATAACTATAACTAGTATTCCTTGAATATAGTCAAGTCAAGCATTTTGGGGGTTCACTTGAGAAGGAGAAAATGAACTGAACAGAATGGGAAGTTCCTGTAAGCTTAGTCTGATGACCCCTGGATCTGCTACCATGGGAATGAAGGGAACAGATGAGGGAAAACTTAAGCTGCTGAGCTCCATTTGCTCCCCCCATCTGTAACCTGCAGGATGACGCTGGGCCTAATATGCAGTATCACAGGCAGTCTAGGATTGGGCACGTGGGGTTGAGAAGAAAGATAAGGGTAAAAGAGGAAATCATTTCCACAGCAGAAAGGATCCTGGTATCTGTTCGACTGCTATCTCAATAACTCATAGGAGAGTGCCTCACCCAAGGGACCACTCACTAATCAAAATGGTCTCAGTTTCTTTCAAAATTAACTCACCCCGCCACCCTCTTTTATCTGCCCTAAAGAATGCCATGTAACCCTTTTGTCAACACTTCCCTATTACTCCAAAGACTGAGAATCCTAAAAAGTCACTCTCACTAATGGGAGAGTAACCTATCTACTAGTGGGAGTGCTGTGGTAAGTAATTACTAAAACCACTGGACTAAACATCTTCTAAGGTTCTCTTCTCCTTGAAAAGTCTATTATTCTACATGTGGAAAACTCTAAACGCTGAGTTACAGGAGCAGAATGTTGAGAACGTATTCTGCTGTGCCTGAGTCAGAGGGAAGGAGCGACTGGTGTTACATATACTCTTTCTCCTCTGTCAAGAGGTGTCTAAACAGTGTATCTTAAAAGGAAAGCATCTTGTTCCGAACGTCTTCCCATATTGCCCCAAATCCTAGCATTCATCTGAATTTTGAATAACAGGCAAAACATACTGAGGAAAACTTAGAGGTAGGAGAGTGATTAGGTGTACTATTTAAGTAAAAGAATTATAGTTTTAATAGGCCTGTGTGGGAGGGTTAAGGAAAAAACTAGAAGGTAATTTTGGGGGAGGGGCGGCACTGGTGATAAAGCTCTGAAGAATCTGAGGGCAGTATGAGGGCACTAGGTTACTGGGGGCGGATGGAGAAGGTCAATGATGTGTGGACACAAAAGAAAACTTCATTTGTGCAATTTTGCTTAAAACTAACCTTATTCCCTCCTATACCTACAAATTCCACTGCAATTCAATTTTAGGTCTTCAACATAATGAGATAGAAAACAGAAAAGAATGAGCAGAGGATGTGTCCTATGGATTAGTTAAGAGATAGAGTCTACTTAGTATAGAGCACAGTCACATATTTTAAACATCATGCACAACAACGTAACTAGTTTGGGCATAAAGAACAATCAAGATTTATTTTAATCCTTAAGAATCCACATGCCGAAGAGAAAGGCAGCTACAGAACTTGAGTTTTATACTAAATATCTTGGATGCTGAACCCAAGCATGCCAAAGATTGAATACCATTATTCAAAATAACATTCTATTATGACTTTGAGGGTGAAACGGATGATAATGCTGGGAAGGGTGGTCACAGTTACAAACTATGAAGAGAAATAAGAGGTTCATGCCATAAAATATGAATTAAGAATACAAAACATTTTTTTAAATGGAAGGTTACTGCTGGCCTTTTCCCTGACACGTAAAAATCATTTCCAGTGGTCATGTGATTCAACAGGAGGAAAGTATAGTGATGCACATTGGTGGTAAGTGGAAGGCTGAGTGGTGAAGAGCTAAGGAAGTACTTAAGTGAAATTGAATTTGTGGACAAGAAAGGAAGCTAAAGAGAACACAGCAATGGAGGGGAACTGGTCCATTAAGAGTAAGGAAATAATAACCAATATTATTGAGGGTATTACATATGTTGTTTCTTTAAATTCTCAAACAACCTTATGAGATTAGTACTATTATTATCCTTGTTTGTCTGATGAGCAAACCAGTGCACAGAAAGTTTAGACAACTTGCTCCAAATTATATACCTAGAAAGTGGCAGAGGCAGGATTTGAATCAACTTAAGTGCTTAAGCAATAAATTGAGAGGAAAGTTCTTAGGAAGCAAATGAGAAAAAAACCATGCCCTTGAAGAGCTGGAGCCTGAATCATAAAGATTCAGCAGCCTTTGTGAACTTAGTTCTGGTTTACTTTATAATAGGAGCTCCTTTGTACTACTTTACAATTTACATGTATGTCTGAACTGTATCTATACTGGGTAATAGTGGGTGAAGGGTAAGAAGGGGTACTTCTGGAGGAAAAGTAAACGTGGGAAACAGACACTACAGCTGGGTAGTGGCAGAAGACAGCATATGAGAGCAGAGATGAGATAGGAGTGAGCTGAGATGTGCTTCTGCTGAGAAGAGCTAACCTATTTACCAAAATACATACTACTCCTGTGTTGTACATTCAAAGATTTTTGTGGGAGAAAAAGGGATGTAGAGAAGAGTTTATTAGAAAGAAAAATGAAAATGGTCTTCTAGGAGAAAGGACAATTAAAATATTTGTTCAAACTTCCTTCCCATTCTTTTTAAGGTGAATGTTATCTGTATGGAAATACCATACTGAGTATTTTAGAATAGTAAAATATACATCAGATTATAACATCAAATATTATTGTACATCAAGAGTTCTCTTTTCATAACACTGCAGAATTAGCTAGTTTAATTATTTGTCTCAAGAATAATAAAATAGTTTCCATTTAGAATGGCAAGGTGCACACTTTGGTATAAATATTTCAAAGAAAGAAAAAATCACTTAAAAATATAGATCAGGAGTTTTCTTTAGTAGAAAATTATGCTTAATAGTCTCCTCAATAGAAGAATTATATTTAACAAAACACAAAAAATAAAACATTTAAAGAATTTCCCCTGGTTTAAAAATAGTTATATGCACAATATTTGCATTTGAACCCATTTTATTTCCAAATTTCTGTAAAGATAGAATGTTCAACAGGATAATACAATGCTTTACAACAAGAATTATTGTGCCATTTAATGTGGATTAGAGAGAATGTATATGTCAGGTATTTCTGTAAAGAGAGGAACACTATACATTAGGAACTTCTAAATTAATAAATCTATACAATTAATTTAAGAGAGAAAATGATAATGCAGTCAATTTATAGTGAATATAGTGCATATATTAAATCATTTTTTACATTAGAAGAGAAATTCTGTCGGCATTAAAAATTGATCTGTACTCAATTATTGTGTTATGATAAAATCTACTGGAAGAGTTAATAAAACGTGTCACTTGTTCTGATTCTACTACCAGAGGTTTACTTTTAACTAACATATAAACTAAATAGTAAAGTGCTGAAAAGAAAAGGGGAATGTGAAATAGAAATTGCCATGAAAAACAAAAATGAGCAATTATTTATATCTATATATCTATAGTGACAATAATCAAATAAGCATTCCAGTCTTCAGAACTGTTGCAAAGAATGGAACTATAGAGATTTTCTGATGGACAACACATTTTTAAAAGTACATTTTTACTTTATTGTATTTAATAATGATAACTCTTCATTGTATTTAAAGTAAGAAAGAAGCACGCTTTGGCTCACAAATTATCAAGTGTGATATTTCTAAAACTGACTGCATTACTAGGTAAATTCTTCATATCAATTCACTGATCTCTTTTACTGAAGGATGCATTGGTTTGAAAATCAAAGACTTACGTCATCCAAAAAATCAATCAGTGAAGATGAGGAAGAAGAAAAGGAATCCTATTTAACGAATACAGCAATAAAAAAATAGAAAATATGGATGAAGCAATTTAATAAGAAATAATAAATCAAAAATTTTGTAAAACAATTGAAAGGCAAATGACATTAATTCAAATAAATAAATGAGAAAAGCAGTCACTGTCATTGTTTCTCAAGAAACGTAGAAATTCATTAATTACTTTTTAAAGAGTGATTCGTTTTTCCTTTCCCAAAAGAATGAAATACAATTCACATACTGTGCTCAAAATGTATTAAGCTGAAGCTCATTAATAATCAAATTAAATGGAAGCACTCCAGAAGGTAACAACTAAAAGTAAGCAACAGAATCTCTGCCTCTAATCGTTCCTGCTAGAATGTAAGCTTCTTGAGGGGCAGGACTTTGTCAGTTTGGTCACTGCTGTATCTCCAGCACCTAGAACAGTGCCTTGCACAGAGACATAACGATTATTTGTTGATTAAGATATAATCACTAACTTAAATTTTCTGACATAAAAATATACTTCATATCTTAATTTTTTTTTCTAGCAAAGAATTTAAGTACCAAAGAATGACAGTCATATAATCACTATTTCATTATAATGGAGTGTGCCAAATAAAGTCTATGTAATACTTTTAACAAAAAGCATTCTTTCGGTACACTTCTAAAAAACTAAATTGATTTGGAACTAGAACCAGCAGTGCCCTATTGTGAGCTCTGACATTTTCACTTGTTTTTTATTGTGGCTCTATGCTTTGGAGAAAAAAGAAAAGTGTCAAAATTATTTAAAGTTAGGATTTGTTCTGCACTTACTGTTCCTCAGGGAAAGACTTATTTAGATCTTTCTTAGATTTTTCTTAAACACAAGAAAAGTTTATGATTAAAGTTTCCATAATATTGCAGAACATATTCTTTTCCTAATACATTTTGTTTATATAAAATTCTAGGTCCTCTTATATGGGATGCAATAAAGGTTTTATTGCAAATAAATTTTAAATCACAAAGTAAATTTTAAATTGACTGCAGAGGATATATGAAAAGTTTAATACTTACTTCAAATTGATCCAGAGCATCGGTAGGCGTATTCAAAAATGCCAAGAAAGAATGCTGTGAGTCTTGGTGCTCTATACCTAGAAGACAGCAGCAACTTCTTTTAAAACTAGAATTAAAACTAATTTTCATGGATAACCTTTCCTGTCTGAATCTATTAAAAAGCTGCTCACAAACTACTGTATTTTAAAACCAATTAACATCATTAACTCCACATACTTAAAAAACTAAAATACATTAATGTTTCTTGGAATATCACTCAATAGTTAAATTACATCAGACTCCATGAAATACTTGTTTCTTGACTTACTTGAGTTCCTGAATTTCTTTTCCTATACAGTACACTGTAAGAAGCACATTAAATCTTTTGGTACTCTTGAGAAAATTTTTAAAATAGGACCCTGGTTATGTCTGATTTTTTGTTTATCACCAAACAAGGTTTCCTTTTTGAAATACTCTCATCAAGCATATAGTATATATTAATATAAATAATCTTTTATTTAAAAATGCAGTGATACAACAAACTTATTTAATTATGAAAAAACTTTTGCTAAGGCCTCAATCTGATTTCATTTACTGTTTTACTGACAAAAATTGCATGAAATTAAAAAATTTTGTCTGAGAAAAACTAGGGTTGGCGAATGAGGAATCCAAATCCTAGCTTTTCTCAGACAAATTAAAAAAATTTCACGCATACCTCTTGGCTATGGCATTAACTTTAAATACATGATTTCCAAATTAATTCTTAAAATACACATAATGATAAATACTAGGGTGGAAAAGGAGAAACAACCAACACACATTTTTGATCTCCATATCTTTTTAGGAACTGATATCAACTGATATCAAATTATGTGCTTTTTGAATTACTCTCTAATAATATACCATAGTTGCCAGATAAGGCAGTATGTTCAGAAATTCATTCCATCAATGAATATTTATTGACAGCCTTTTATTTGCCAAACCCCGTCTAGATACTGGATATATAATAGTAAATAAATAAAGCAGAAAAACAAAATCCTTGCCCTCATTATATAAACATTGTATTATTTAAGTAGACTATTATGTTACAACATATAGTGAAATTTTATTATTCTGCAAGCCTCAAAATCCAAATATAAAACCATAGCCATAGATTAGCCTGCAATGTGATAAACGATTTCTTCTTTCACAAGTTTAGATCTACTTTAAAATGATGCAATCAATGCAACTGGTGTGTTATAGTAAGTCATACTCTTCACTGGTCTCTTTTCTATACAAATTGCCTTTAGGGCCACAGGTCCTCCATGCCTTATATATTCTTTTTCCTCTACTCACTAAATAATGCAGCTCCTTCCACTCTTCATACATGAAAATTAAGCTTGATTCTCATTTTAGCATGGTGCTTTGTACTCCTAATCTGAGCTCCTAATTCACTTTTTCTGGGTTCCTTCCTTCCTTCTTGTTCACTAGGAAATTCAATCAACAAAAATTTATCTACTACTTTTAATGGCTTTTCCATGTTAACTCCTTTGTGTGATTACCCTCTTTCCTCCACAATTGTAAAAGCAGATGCGGAGACCCAACCAGCTTTACATCACTGTGTGTCATAGGACTGGGAAATGATAAGGCAGCACATAAGTACAACATAGAGCCAATTAACTAGTTCAGTATTCAGTCAGGAATGCTGTCAGGAAAATGAATTTTTAACAACTATATATAAGAGAATCTTGCATTAAGATAATAACATTCTGAATTTAAAAAAATTAAACCTTCACATTCTTAATGCCCATGTTATGGAAAGAACGTTGAAGTTCATGTAATAAAGCTACCAAGCACTCTGAGTTACTTTTTACATTAATGAAAAAATGCTCAAGTAATGTTTTCAAGAAAATGGGAATAAATCCTGGAAAATCCCACAGGGCAAGCACTTTGAGCACCAAACATGGAAGAAGACACCGAAATGCCCAAATAGTTCTTTGTCACTGAGTTGCCTTTCTAATACTGGATTAGGTTAATCTTTAGTTATTTCATACATTATTTCGTCAACTACCCTGAGAGTGAATCCCCCATAACACTTGAGAATAGTATAAAGTATATGATAAAAACAAATTTTTCCAATCACAAAAATATTCTTCACGATATAGTCCATGGTCCTGAAAAAAGTCAACTTTATGGTACAGTGAGTTTTCTGTTAAGAAATCTTTAAACAATGCATATCAAGTAAAACAAAATGACTCAGGAGACTTGTCTACCAAATATATGTGTGTGTGTGTGCGTGTGTGTGTGTGCCATATACACATACATCTATAAATGAGTGCCAGAATTGTGTATGTGAACAATTCTCCTGCCTACACAGTAGGCTGATTCTTGTAATAAAATGTATTCATAACAGAACATTAAGTCCTGGTTGATGCAAAACACATTCCCATACCCTTTTCAGATCTAAGCTCTTCAGTGTCCTTTATCAGTTGTTCAATTTCTGATAGCAGTTCCAAGTTCTTCTTCTCTGAATCTTTTAGTTTACTTAAGGGAAAAAAAGGGAAAAGTGTCATTATTTATATTGTTGGTTAGTGAGCCATCATGTATGTAGTTGACCTTAATTGGTTTAAATGTCAGTCATGATAATGTAGGGAACTGAAAACTACTACAGGAAGGACAAATCTAGCCTGTCACCTACGCTTGCGTAAATAAAGATTTACTGGAACACAGTCAGGCTCATTCATTTATATGCTGTCTGTGGCTGCTTTTGTATTCAACAGCAGAGTTGAGCAGACAGAAACTATATGGCTTACAAGCCCTAAAGTATTTATTATCTTTCCTTTTATAGAAAAGTTGCTGGCTCTGAGCTATACTATTAAATTAAAAAATGTCATAAAATCAAAGGTTAATTTTAGAATTGTTAGACTTCTTTCATAGAGAACCATGAAAGTGACTAAACTTGTAATTTTCAGTTTGACTCACATTCCTGATTTATGAACAAATGTGTAAATTTATATGTCCTAAGCATAAGCAGAAAGATCATACTTATTCCAAATTACAACACAGAGAATGATAGTTAGCAGTTCTTCATGTTGGGATCAATTCATATTCTCCAAAAACAGTTTTTTTCCATTTTCAATGTTACACTGGCACATTTCAGTAAAACATACTTAATTTATGATTGGATAATTCATAGCAAGAATTTATAATTCAACTGGGGTGCTTCATACCATTAAAAAACGAATTTATGGGACTATATTTCTTTTCATGACTGAATGCCTTTGCAACATTTGGTATTCTGAGCACCAAATGGATTTTTCTATTTACATTTTGATTTGTAACATGAACTTTCTACTGTTCCTCTATATCACCTTATTCCTCTATAACTTATTCTTGAACCAATCCAATTACGAGTTTCCTTTTATCATTTATTTATTCAGAGTATGATTTATTCTACTGTTGTGATAAGAATGGAGGGAATGTATTCATTAGCTAACTGTCCTGGACCTGTGGGGGATACACTTTTTTAAATACATAACATAAAAGAAAGGATAATTTAAGTATGTTCTACCTTTATGAAATTTACCATCACTTGAAACTTCATTTGTAAAAAAATCTATGGTAGAGGCCAGAATTTTCAGATGACTATTATTTTGTTCTGACTCTATGCTGCAATTTTATACTAATGTGATATTCTTGGACAAAAGATTATTTTGGATTTAATAGAATAAAATTTGAGAGTGAATTTTACAAATAAGGGGAAAAGTAAATAACAGAATATTAATTAGTACTATTAATTCCACTTTAAGGACAAGTCAGAAACAAAGCTGTATTAAAATTGCATCACTGCACACAAGGCCTAAAATCATCAATTCATTTTCAAATATTCATAGTTTTTTTCTGGTCATCACTTAAATAAAAAAAAAAAGGTATAGATAGGTAGGAAACTAAACATGTAACTTCTCTCCAGATACTTTTGGACCAAATTAGAAATCACTCTAGTGGGACTATATTATTCAGTCTTACCATTCTGTTATGATGTTAGACGCTTTAACTTTATTCAGCTCTTCTTGGATGGCCTGCTTAGCTCTTATTTCTGCATCCAGAGCTGACTGCAACTCCAGTCTAGCTGACATATCCAGTTTTGCAAAACGACGCATTTTCCAGGGCATATCCTATGAAATAATATGACTGCGTTTTTAGCTCCATTTGATTTTATTTTTAACATTTAAGTTTAGTAATATAAGTGAATTTGGAAACTACTTAAAAGAACTATCTTTCCCT